TCGTTAAAAGGTAAAAATGCAAATTAATAGTTATTGGTTTATTTTAATAGTTTTGATAGTTTCAATACATGATATTAAATTTATCCAAATTATGAACTTAGTTGCTATAATTGATATGTATGAAAAAGTTATTGTTTACGTCTATTTAGGACTTTTTGTACTGTTAATAGGTAAAAATAAAAAATTATTGTTAATGCTTTATTTTAACAGTTTGGATAGCTTTAATACATGATATTAAACTTATCTGAATGATTGAACTTGATTTCTACGGTTGATAGGTGTGAAAAAGTTATCGTTTAAGTCTGTTTGAGACCATTTTTGCCTTTTAAAGATAAAAATACAAAATAAACTTTTGGATGGCTTTTAATAGTTTAGATGGCTTCAATCTATGATAATAAACTTGTCTAAATAATTAAATTTGGTTTCTATGATCGATATATGTGAAAGGCCAAAATGCTTTTATTGTTTATGTCTGGTTAAGCGTTATGTTGTTAAAGGGCCAAAATATAATTTTATGTTTATATTTCTATTTTAACAATTTAGATAGATTAAATACATGATATTAAACTTATTCAAAAGTTGAAACTTAATTGACAAGCTTGATATACATGAATAAGTTACGGTTAATATGTATTTAACAATAACATATATTTTTGTATAGGAGATTAAGATGGGTGGTAAAATTAAACGAGTGAAACTTTTTCGCTTAACACACAAAAAAAGATGGATCTTATCTGAATGTCGAAACATAAGAAATTATGATAATTTGTAACATCTATTTTAATAGAAAGTAAATATTTACTCTTTTTAACATATTATGAATTAATCATTAAACTTAATAATTTTATATGATTAATTTACAGGAGAAAGCGAAAGAGAAAATGGCTGTTGAGATTGAAGTAGCATCTAATGATTTTATCAACATGTAAGAATTGAAAAATCAAATTTTCACAGAAGTTATTGGAAAAGAAAGACATGGACGGGTCCAAAGCCTTGGATTGGGTCCAATACTATCTACTTACTATGGATGTAGCTCTCAGCAATTTATATTTTCAACAAGTCAATCTTCGCGAGACATTTTCATATTGAGAGAAAAGTTACAACTATGCAACAATGTTTCCAGCAAATGGAAGCAGCAACAAGAACGTGCCAAAATTGAAGAAAAACGTGCTAAAATGGACTAAGAGCATGCAAAATTTTAGAAGTTGCATGATCGATTCGATTATCTTATGAATTTTGTGTGACTATAATTTTTAGGAACTAATCTCGATGGTCCACCAACTTAGGTATTATATTTAGTAAATATTTATATTTTTTAATATAAAAAATAGTTTATTATTAAGTGTTAAAACTTGTATGATATTATTTAATAGGTTCTTAAGCATGCTAGTGACTAAGGTGAAAAAATTCCTTTATCAAATAACAATCTTCCAAATTTATATAGTCATCAATTTTATACATTTTAAATTTTTTGGTTAATGTATTAAAATAATTTTAATATTATTATACTAATTATTAAACTTTGTATTAATTACATGCATATTTAAACATAAATTAAATATTTATTAATTTAAGTTTTCTGAATTTTAGTTCGTTTTTATTTCTTTTAATATTTCTTGTTAATGAAAATAATAAATATTAAAATAATTTTTTTTAAAAAAAAAGGTAAATTTCTTAATTTCATAGCGTTCGCATTCAAAAATGCTACTAAATTTCAAATTTAGTGGCATTTATACCATAAAACACCATTAAAAGTAGTGACGTTCTTATAAAAAAATACCGCTTAATTAGGTACATTTTTATGATACAAATGCCATAAATTTAGTGGCGTCTTATCATATAAACGCTACCATACTAACGATATTTTTTTGTATAAATACCACTAAATTAGAGACATTTTTTAAATACAAACACTGTTAAAATAGTAGCGTTTTATAAAAAATACCTTTATTTTTTCTGACGCGTGTATAGCCGACACTCTTAATAATATTTTTTGTAAACGCCGTAAATCTTTTAATGAAATTTATAAATGCCGCTAAACGTTGAAAAAAAGCCACTAAACACCTAAACCCCTATAGTGGATCTTTTGTGCAATTACTAGCTGCTTTAATTGATACCAATAGATAAAATTATCCTAAGTCCATTCTCGTTAAATTGATGCATCAATACCTATGTCAATGGTAATTGATGTCATGAATAATTTGATTAGGAGTTATGTTTTGTCTTTTAATATGTAATTTTTGGAGTTAATTGAGATTTAATGATTTTTTAAAGTTGTTTTAAGCTTTTAATTAATTATGTTTTTTAACATATCTTTCTCTCTTCATTCTTTTGCTTTTAGTTGTTATTTAAAAAAAAAAGGATAAATTATGTATTTAATATCTGAATTTTAATTAAAATTTTTATTAAATATTTAAATTTTAAAAATTCATAATTAAATATTTGAATGTAATTTTGGTCACGAATTTAACTTAAAACCAATACAATTAATCAAATGAAGTAATAAACTTGTAACACATTTCATGTTTTAATCGATTATTTTTAGACACATGTATTTGATTAAGCATGATAATCTTGTGTGCAAATTGAAAGTTTGACTACAATTGGAATACTAACGTATAAATAAATTTTTTAAAAAATCACAATCATCATAACAATAACATTTACGAACATATCACCACATTAATTGATTAAAGTATTTGACATTTTCAAATGGGGTAAGAATATTAGAGGATTCTAATTTTTTTGTTTTTCATATTATAAACATTTTATTAAAAAAGGTCAATTTATTTAAACACTCAAAAGATTAATTAAAGCAATGTGATATTGAGTTAAGAATTTTTTTAATTAAGGTTTTCATATTATCATATAAGACATTAGTGATTAAATTAGGAATGAGATGAAAGAATTTTTTTTTAAAAAATTAATCTACCTTTAATCCTTCGACTCTTCTTTATTTAAAAATGATATTATGCATATAAATTCACTTAAATCTATAGCTTTTAAAAGTTTGGTCAGTTTATCTTACACTCACATTGTATTTTCTTTTGGCCATCCATTTTGTAATAGATCTACAAATGTTAAATTGAATATATTATTATTTATTACTGTTTCATTTATTTTTATCTTTCTTTGGCCATTTACTATATATGATAAAGAAGCAAAATTATATAAAATTATGGCTTAATCAGCGGTTATTAATTGATAATTAAATAAGAAATCTCAGCCAATCAACTCCAAAATGATTCACTCTTACCACCTTATCTAAATATTTTATTTTTTTCACTCTCTTTACCATCAATATTGATTTTCATATTATTAGCCTTCCAATTCAAATACTCTTCTTCCTTTTTTTTTCTTTTCCTTCAAAATATTTTTAAATTTTATCCAAAATATTATTTTAACGATTTTAGAAAACTGAGAATATATGGCAGTCCAACTCAACAAATTGTTTAATTTTTTTTTTATCCTTCTAACCTAATAGTAAATACCAAAGATTATTTTTGTAGCAGTTAGTGCTTGAGATTAATATCTTTTTTTAAGTTCTTAATCTACCATTAAACCTTCTATCTTACCACATACTTGATTAAAGAGCATATTATTTAAATTTTTTTGAACTCGTAACTTTTAAATACTAACTCTAATAATATATCAATTGATTCAAGAAATAGTCTAATAATATATCAACTGATTCAAGGGATAGTTGACAACATATATATATATATATATAAATTTAAATAACATTCTTATATTTTTTTTTTCTGTTGACTCCGAGGAGAAACAAACCAAGTGTCTAAATTTGTGAAGTTTTGCTCTTTTCGTCATAGCAAATGTATTAAAACATAATATGAAGTGGTTTAACCAATCCATTGGTACCTATATATTTTGAAAGCTAAAATATTATATATATATATATATATTGTTTAACCAACAGAGATTTTTTCAATGATATCAATGATAAAAAAAAAAAAAGGAAGTATGAGCTGTATCTTGAAATTAACCGTCAATTTTCTCATTCAAATTTTGTTTCCATGTTTAGATAAATTGGTGCTTCAACTTTATATTAAATTTATATAATTAATTAATGACAATTTAAATTGTACAAGATTAATATAGAAGAACTGGATTTGAATAGAATAATGGGAAATTAATGTATAAATTAAACTTCTTACCACCACGCATTCCTCCTTGTGGATTCATTCAAAATCTTATGACGTTAAGTGTAAGATAAAAAAATGCAAACTAACCCAATACTTTTAAAATAAGAAAAAAATAATCTTTAAAATTGTTTTTTTTTTTCCAAAAAAAAACTTTTTAAATATTTTAATCAGTGCACGAAACGAGGATAGCAGTTACAGTCGGCTAAGAATAAGAAAGAATAATGGCAGATTTAGAAGTTAAGGTTATTTGGATTAAGGATAATATTTGGAATAATATCTGAATTATGATAAAATATTTTACATGATATTTAAATTATAAAAATTTTATAATTAATATAATATTTAAAAAAATGTTTATCAACTATTGAATACCACATTAATTAAAAATAAATTCATTGTTCATATATAATAACATTAAAAAAAATTTTAATTGAAATATTATTTAAAATTTATTATAATTCAAAGTCCATTAGTGATAATGAGGGAGAAAGAAAGAGAGAAGAAACGTTGAAAAGAAGAGACGGAGGAGTGCGTGATAGCCTGTATATAATTCAGATTTGCATGAAATAAGGGAAGGAAATTAAAAGATATCGCATGCAACAAACAAAACATAAATTGATTAATTGCAAATATAATTCAGGAGCCCTCAAAAACCTTTCCAAAAATGGAGCCCCCACATAGCTACATCAAAACATTTACTAAACACAAACTTCATACTATAATGAATATACAGTTTCCACATACTAACAAGCCTTATAAATAATAAAAAACACACTAAATAATATTTATAATGATAATAATAATAATAATAATTAAACCCTAAAACCAACGTCTTAAAGCCTAAGGCAAAACGGTACCATCTCTTTCCACAGCGAGGGCATGCAAAGGGAACTTCATTTCACATGACAGCTTCAGAACCTCGCTCAGATCAACGGGGTGACCACACAAATCCTGAACCCACTTGAAATGCTGCACCAACTTAGCCACCCAAAGGTTAACCGTGACGAGCCCAAGGTTCTTCCCAGGGCAAACCCTGCGACCAGCGCCGAAGGGTGCCAGCCTCAAGTCACCACCCCTGACGTCCACATCCGCTTCCAGGAACCTCTCGGGCTTGAACTCCAGTGGGTCCTCCCACACGCGCGGGTCATGGGTTATTGCCCACATGTTCACCATAGCCGTTGTGTTCGCGGGAACCAGCATCCCGTTGCTGAGCTGGACGTCTGAGGTGGACAGCCTGGCCCACGAGAGGAGTGGCCCTGGGGGATGGATCCTTAGGGTTTCTTTGACCACAGCCTGAAGGTAAGGTAATTTTGCCATGTCAGCGTCGGTTAGGGTTTTGTTTGTCACGGCACTGTCGATCTCAAGTTGAAGCTTGGCTTGTACTTCCGGGTGCAACACCAACTCAGCCATGACCCACTCCGTTAACAAAGCAGTCGTATCAGTTCCTCTGAAAATCATTTCCTGCACGATACCAATAACCAAAACTCACTGAGTTAACTCAGTATTAAACATGCAAATAATAAGAAACAATTAAATTTTAAAACTACACATACTAACCCATAAAACAGCAACCATATCCTCTTCTTGGAGTTTTTCTTCACCATCAAGAGAGACCAAAACATCAACAAAATCAGCACTATCAGACAGCCTTTTGGACTCACTGAGTCGGTGTTTTTCAATGATACCTTTGACGAGTTTTCTAACTCGGGGAACGAGTTTCAAGCAACGTTGATTGATGCGGAAGGGGTCATAAAAATAACTTAGCCATGGCAAATAATCAGACCAATTAAAAGCTCCCAAGAGTTCAAACCCCTCTTTTACCATATCCCTAAGCTCTTCCAGTTCTTCGCTATCTTTTATCTGGTCATATCTTTTGCCAAAAACACTTCCCATAATATTGTTCAAAGCAGCAAACTGAAGGTGTTTTCTTAAGGAAACAAAGCCAAGAACTTTCTGTTCGTTTGCTATGTTGCGCAGCATGATAGTACAGTCTAGCTGGCGACCGTCTTCGTGTGCTATTATGCGTTTTGGTGAAAAGAGGTGGGAAGAAGCTATTCTTCTTAAAAGCCGCCAATAGGTTCCATTCGGAGCGAAACCCATGGCTCGGTTGAACATGAGACTCTTAGCCGACTGCTTGATGGGTCGGTCAGCGAAGTGAGGGGAGGTCAAGATTTCTCGAGCAGTGTGGGGATCAGAAGCTACAACGACAGGGGTGGAACCGACGCTAAAAGCCATGAGCTTAGTGTTGGCCCGTGTCCAAGCCATGGCTGCAAGAGAACGGTGAGCCAAGCCACGACTCAAAGTAAAGAGGCTACCAAATATAGGGACACCCCTAGGACCAGGAATAGGAAGCCTACCTTGTTGGTTCCTTCCATTTTTCCATGCAATTCCACCGACAGCAAAAGCCCAAGAAAGAAGGGAAACAGACAGAAAAGCCATAAAGAGGGAAAATATAACATAGACATCAAGAAGGATTTTGGATCCGAAGAAAGCTGGAAAAGTAAAAACCCACCAGGTTGCATCTTTTGAAGCCAAACCCAACTCCATCCTCTAAGGGTAAGAGAAAGCAAAAGAGTAACTAGGAGACGAGAAAGTTATGTGAAGGGTAGACAAATGAAGGGGTAGATACTATATAGGAAAATGTTTGGCGTCGGTGATTATTATTATTATTATTAGTATTATTATTTTACATTATTATGTTGATTAGGTTAAAAAGATTTGATGTGACAGACCTAAACGCGAGAAATAAAAGAAAAAAATGAAACGAGAGGTTGGGGAGAGTTTCACGTTGAGAGAGGAAATGAAGAGGGAATGTGAAATGCATGAGAGAGAGAATGGGAATGGATTGTGTGGTGGGGGTGAGGAGGTTATGACCTTATAAATAGAATGCATGTTTACAGTGGTAAGCTCTACTGTTTTATATCAGAGACTCAGAGAAGGGCTCATTAAATAAGAGTGAGAGAGACACAGTCCTCTGAATTTTAAAGGTCAAAACGGCGATCGAGGTAAACGGAAAATTTGTATAAATATAAAAATTTTAAAATTTTTATATAAAAAAAAATAATTGGTATAAGTGGACAGATTAGGTTTTTTATATGTGAATATTCTTAAATAATTATCATATATTTATTTTTAATTTTTTAATTTAATTTTGATTAAATTAATTATAATTATATTTAATAATTAAAATTAAAAATTTTCTTTGAATTAATTTTAATTTTTAACTGATTTGATTTTGCCTCAATTAATCACATTAACTTTAATAGATTAAATCTCTCTCAATTAATTTTAATTCTTAAATTAATTTAATTTTGAATAAATAAATTATATTTATTTTTAATCTTTCATAAATATATAAAAACTAAAATTTTTTGCAAAAAAATAATTATCCTATGTTGATAATATTATTTTTAGAAATGTGAATAGCCTTCAATAATTATTATATATCAATTATTTAATGTCTTGATTTAATATGATTTGATTTTGACTCAATTAATTGTATTTATATTTAATAGTTTAAATTTCTCTCTCAATTAATTTAATTCATAATTAATTTGATTAAATTAATTACTTACTTTTAATGGATTAAATATATCTCAATTAATTTTAATTCTTAGTTTAATTTTATTTTACCTAAATTAATCACATTTATTTTGAATAGCATATATCTCTCTTAATTAATTTTTTTACTATTTTTTGTTCATTCTTCAATAGTATAAATATTATCTAATAAGGGTTCAACTAAAATAAAAATATTTAGTCATGTTCCATTGGAAGAATTATCCACGATATTTTTAGCATATCAATTGAAATTAGTTCTCTCAGATTCTCCATTTAAGAGAAAAAAAAGTTTTAAACAACAAATTTATTTTGAAATTAATTGTTTTCTTCATATTTCTTATACTTTTAATATAATTTTTTATTTTATTTTAAGGCATATCACTTTACATATATTAATTGTTTTTTGTGCAACTTGAGTATAAGATACTGGATGTCTGTTTTGATATTTTTATTTTAATTTCATTCTATATGCTAAAGTGTTTAAGGTTTATGTTATATTTTTTTTTGTTATGTTTAATATAACTTTAAATATATAAATTTTGAGTTGTTCATAAATATAAAAATTTTATCTTATAATTAAAAAATTTTATATTATATATAAATTTATTAATATATAAATACACTCTCATATATTTTATGTACATCGCACGAATTTAAAGCTAGTTAGAAATTATAAAGAAAGGGAAATATGATATGTAGGAATGGGGTGATGGTGCGTAACGTTTTCGGGTTCATTTTAACGCATTGAGTGCTGTGACGATTTGAATTTAATGCCTAAGCCCCAAGCAATATATACAGCTTGTTTGCCTGCGTTGAGAATGAGATGGATTAATGGCCTGCCATTCTTTTACTACCTATTACTTTATATATTCTAATAATTAATTCACTCGTAAAGAGTAATTACAAAGGTTGAATTTAAGTGGTATTTTCACAAGTTTTAATGTGAAACTTGGCAAAATGCTTTATGCAAATTTATTAGTGATTGTAAATAGTCATGCAATGTGATTTATTAATACAACGTTAAAATTTTAATTATAATAACTAATATATTTTTAGTACTAGAAGAGATGAAAGAGTGTTACATGCCCAACTCTCCATTATAAAAAAATAAAATCAAGAATATTAATAGCTTTCCTTTTTATTAATATATATATATAACTGTACTCTATTTTCATATTTTTATCTACATTCCTATACTTTTCATTTGTTTCTCAATTTTTGTACTTGTTGAAACTACTTTAATGTTAGCCTTTGGACACGTGTTAGCATTTCGACGATGAGGCAAGGATTGAGATAGGAAAAACGAAGAGGATTTACGTTATTCTGTAGTAACAAAATTTTGTCGATGAGATCTTATACCAATAATGAGAAAAAAAATATTTTAAAAAATAATGACATTTTATGTTTAAATTTTATTGTATGTAGATTTGATTTAATTTTATGTGAAATTTATCTTGTTATGTTTAATTTTTGTGATTAATATTTGATTATAATTATAATTTTTATTATAACTAGAAGAACTATTTGGTTTCGTTTAGGTTATAAATTTTTTATTTTGATGAAACATAATTTATATAATTTTTATTTAATAATAAAAAATAAATATTTGTAAGTATACTATTAATTTTTTAATTTTTTTGAAAAATATAATCTTTTGAAAAAAATAAAAAATAGATGCTTGAATTGTGTCACTTAAATCATAATTAGACAAGTATTGACTTTTATTTAAAAAAAAAAAAAGAGACTACTTAAAAAAAAATTATAGAAATTAAATTAAAATCCAATAATACAAATATGACAATCCAACTTATTGATATAATATTTATCTATTACCAACATCAATAATTATCAAATTCAAACTCATTTATTTACATGTGGAATTAAAGTCTACCAATATCATCACCCGTTCAACTTAATTTTTTAAAGAAAAAAAATCAATAATTTTAATATTGTAATGGTCTAAATGGTAGAAGGGCATTTCTATAATTATGGTTACAAAGGTAATATCGAAACTTTGACCAATTATAGTAAAAGAGATATTTTAGTAATTATGTTAAAAGAAACCTTGTAGTAATTTTAATTAATTATAGAAAGATGAACATTATAGTCGATTTGGATGTATGTCATTTAATTACAAGCAATTAAAAAGGTATTATGATAATTTCTATAGAGATCACTTTCATATAATTATATAAATGTTAAAATTTAATACGTAATATGAAGTAATAAAAATGCATTTTCATAATTATGATAAGAGGGTATTATGATAACTTTGACAAATTATAATATGAGTAGTATTTTTTATAATTATGTTAGGAGGAGTATTATAGTAGTTTTGACAAATAATGGTAAGAGAGCATTTTCATAATTATGGTAGTGGGGATATTATATTAACTTTAACCAATTATGGTAATAAAGGTATTTCACTATATATATTATGACGGACATTATAGGTGTCATAACGATTTTTCATCCGAAAAAACTCGATTGCTATATTTAGTGAAAATCTTTGGAGTTGCCATCAATCTTTTTGTAGGATGTGATTAGCCACCTAAAATATCATCTTTTGATAAAAATCTTAAAATTAATTAAGTTTACTAAAAGAAGTTTAGGTCTATGAAATCAAAAGTTAGGTCCGGGAGTATAGTTATGAGTGAGGAAGGCATTAGCAACCTCACGTCGCTTGTTCGAAGAACAGTACCAATTAAACATGTGTAATCCTATAATTTTGATAATGCAACTTTTTTTATATTTAAAGTTAATTTCTTAAAATTTATTTAAAAGAATTTTTTTGTAAATATATTATTATTATTATTATTATTATTATTATTATTATTATTATTATTTCATATTCTATAAATTCTCCAATGCTTTGACGAAATTTATAGAAAATCATTATTTAGAAAATATTTTGAAAAAATTGACTATTCATAAAATTCTAGAAATCTAGTCATAAGATATTTTATTTATTTATTAAAACAAGTTTAGGAATATCCTAACTCTTTGGTGAGTTCTCAAAATTTATTAAACAAATTTTAAGATTATGCAAACTCTTCAGCAAAATCCTAAAAATTTTAAACAAGTTTTTTTGGATCATTCCAACTTTTTAATGAGATCCTAAATAAAATTATTATTTTTTGTGATAATTAAGGGGATTAATTAATTAATTAATTTTTATTGTGATTATTTATTATTATTGTTTATTATTTTATTATATTATTTAAAAATTTTTAGATTATTCCGACTCACTAGCGAAATCTAAAAAATATTAATCTTTTACTTGTATTAAAGAAAATCAAACTCTTTCAATTTTTTACATTTTTTAAAAATATTTATTCAAAATATCAATTATTATTATTATTTCATTTTTATTTTTTATAATTATTCTACATTGTTTAAATAAACATTTGTTCTAGTAAAAATAATTTTGGATTATTCCAACTCTATGGTAAATTTGAAAATTATTTTTACTTGCAATAATTAAAGAAAATCAAACTTTTTTAGCTTTTTTTAAAAATTACATTTAAAAGATTTATTTAAACAATTTATCATTTTTATTTTATTTATTTTATTTATCTTTTTTATAATTTTAATTATTTTTTTAGCAAAAATTATATTTTAAATTATCTCAACACTTTGATGAAACTTAAATAACCCTTTTGCTTGCAATAAAATTTTATTTTCCTTAAATAGTCATTATTATTATTAATTTTTTTGTATATTATATTTTTTAAGTCCATAATTTATTTTAGTTCTGTTTTTCATTTTATTTTTTTATTTCTAAAATAACAATAACAACAACAATAACAATAATAATAATAATAATAATAATATCAACAAAATAAATAAAATAACCTAAAATAACTTAAAATAACTTTAAAATAAAATAAAATACAAAAAAAGAAAATAAAAAAAAACAAAAAAAGAAAAACTTGCTAAATAGGTTTGGATGGTGTGCGGGTTAATGCGTGGATCCTATGCAGCTTGGGTGTGGGTTAGACGCTTAAAACGATGTCATTTTGAAGTGCCTCTCTCTACCACAAAGCTT